AAAGTTGAATAACTTAAAAAAATTAAATAGAACACTTATCCGTTGATTTATCTAGAGATTGTAAAAGTCATTATAAATACTGAAATTCGAATTATTTTATTGTAAAAATAAATAATAATGGATTTAGTTTAACACAAATGTGATTATTAAGTGATATTTCTTCCATCTCTTGTGCAACTGTGCACTTTTTGGCTACTGAAACAAAGTAATTTTTTTTAATGTTTAACGTTAAATATCTTTTRAGTTATTGATTATAAACACCTAAAAGTAAATAATTTTAGAAAGACAATTTAATAATCTTTTAAATGCAAAAACAATAAATAGGGTGTTCCATTTAAATTTTTTAAGTTATTGAACTTTTAACAAACGCCTTAATTTTTTTATCTTTGCAAATGCATCACACTAAAAAAATGTTACAACCTTATAGCTTATACCTTCGTCTTTGCGGTAGTAAAAAAATTTTTTTTGTCTTAGTTTTTGTGTAATAAATTTTTAAAAAGTGCATGTTTTTGTCAAAAACTGTGTTATTTTTAAAACTAAGCAAAATAGACCAATAAAAGTTTAGCCTAAAAACATTGTCATAAAAATCTACGACCAAAAACGCTAAGAAACATATGGTGTTTCATTTAAAAAAACACAAGTTTGTATTGTAACTTATTTTTGAGACACGCTGTATAGTAGATTAGTATCTATCAATGTCCTATATAATTTTTTTCAATTTTATTATTTAAATGTTACTTGGACTTTTTCAACTTGCTGGGACACCCTGTATATTGCAAAAGTTACACGATTATCATTTATTCATTTCCTGAAACGATGTCCGAAGCTACATTTGCGTAATTAAAATTCAACTCCTGAAAACTGAAAAATTATGATTCATGCATCCCCAATGATACCATTTTCATTTTCATGTGGGCTCAGCAAATGGCCACAATAAATAAACACTGCAACAGGAAGTATCCTATCTGGAGGCGAGCTTTTTAGAAAAAGTTTTACCTTTTACTTAGTTTCAATTAATCATGCCCACATCCAGGGCGGGGCATAAAACCCTTGTCACGATGGTGGAAATCTCGTTTTTGAATTTTTATCACCTTGAAGAGAGATTCTCATGTGTGGTTTATTAGAGATAAATTACAAAACTTGAGAATAATGAACACAAACAGATTTTATGACCGCAATAAAATAAACGCACTTGAGAGCAATGTGTTATTTCACGGATGCTTAACTTCTAACATCATGACTTTTACTAAAACAATTTGTTAATTCAACTAAAGACACGTCTTGTTTGGCGTTAAAATTACCACTGACACAAAGAATGTCTAATTTTAGGCGTTTAAAATTTTTAAAAGTGAAACGGAACCCTTTTAATTAGGACAAACTCGAGTTAATTTTACATCAAAGAAAATTGATAAAAAATTCAAAAAAAGTCTTGCTTGTTTGTATTATGCATTACTATAGTCACAAAGTGTTTTTAAAGGGGTGCAAGCCAAGTTTTTGATCACTTTTTCCCCGACTATGGAAAATTTGTAAGTTTTTAATGTGTCTAAAAACACGTTTTAATTTTTTTTCAGACATTTGGACCCAAATGACGTGTCCTCATACCCATTGAAATTTCTATGGTATGGTCGCCTCCACCCAGGACTTGACCCATGCTGGACCAAAATCCTGGTCCCCACCAACATTTCCGTTGCTTTTTTGTACCTAATTTTGGCCCTAAAAGGAATAAATTTGTCCCACAATCGTGACATTTTTTTCACTGCTGAATGTTTCCAAACTTGTATTTTAGTAACACATGTGAGTAATTAATTTGTAGATTTTTTTTTCAAATTTAAATTTTTGTTTCAGTCGATTGGAAAATTCTCAAATTTTTTGTTTCACAAAAACCGTTTGCTTGGTTTGGTTGAGAAAAAATCGCAATTTTGGAAATTGGACAAGTTTGACGGTCTTGTGTACGATGAGTGTGTCTCAATTTCAAATTTCGTGAAGAAAATTACGCGATTTTACTATTTTTTGAATTTTTTGGTTTTGGTTTCCTTCGATTTGCAACCCTTCACGACGGGGTATTTGCCCACAGTGTGTTATGTTCCCACAGGATGGTTCAATTTCCTAACTGGGCTTTTATGGTACTTTTCCTGGGCTGTCCTGTTTGGGTTACCAGGAACCGATGGGTTTTTTTGCTCACTCGCCACGTCACTAATTATCCAGTTCAAATTATTGGGGCACAAATTTAAAACTAATTCTAGTGAAATGAAGAAACTCGTCGATTATCACAATTATTTATTAAGGTTTGTGACTGTTTTTGGGAGTGTTTTTAACAAGAATTTCAGTTACAGCAGCGAATTGAATGCAACTTTCAGGCCGATTTTTTTGCTTCAGTTTATGATTTCGATTGGTTCAGCTTCAGTGTCTGTTTTTATTTTCATGCAACCGTGAGTGTTTTTGCAAAAATTCAAAATTTTGATTGGTGTTTCAGGGGCGATTGGTCGAATCGGATTAAATTTTTGTTGTATTTTCTTGCAACAATGGTTCAAACGGCTTTCTACTGCGTTCCTCTTGAATTTGTGGTCATTTCGGTGAGGAGTAAAACGGGGAAAATTGCGAGTAAATTGGTTTTTAGGCGAAACAAATTGGTGATTTTGTTTTTGAATCAAACTGGTATCAAGCAAAAAACGTGAAGTTTAAGAAATGTTTTATTTTGATTCTTGTAAGGGCCCAGAAAAGTGTTGGTTTTAGTGCTTATGGACTGATTTGGATTAATTTAGGGACATTTCTTGTGGTAAGTTTTGAAAATGTTACTACTAAAAAACAATTAAATTTTTAGATTTGCAAAACAGTGTTTAGTTTCTACACATACTTGAATTCTGTCAACAAAATAGCATCCTGAAAATATTTCAACAACAATGGAGTAGCAACTATAGATTTTTCTGATTATTTATATTATAAATGTTACACACTTTGTAATACAGTCTGAAAAATATAACACTTGACATGAAATTTTATTTTACGAAATAAAGAATCCTTGGTGTCCCAAAACCGGAAAATTCCGGATAGTTTACATCCTGAAATCCCAAAAAATCGTGAAAATGATTGCAAAAAATTACCAATTTTTCTTAAAAAAATTTTCTCAAAAATAAACCAAAAAATCACCAAACTTAATTAAAAATGATGTTAAGGTTTTCTTTTTTGAGCGTTTAAACACTTTTTTGAGGTAAATGGAACCAAAAAACAATAAACCCCACTAAAAATGAAAATAAAACGCAAATGTCTTGCGAAATTTCTTCAGTAATAGAAAAAATCGGAAAACCAAATCGGAAAACCACCAAATTCAAAATTATTTCGAATAAAATAAAATTTAATAAAATTCAATTTTAAAATTAGATCAAATGGTTTGGTGTCCCAAAAGTTCCGGATAGTTGATTTCTTGAGATCCCTAAAAACCTAAAAAATATAATTCCAAAAAATTACTATTTTTTCTCAAAAATGACACTTTCTGCTTGTTTAAAGCGTATTTGTACGTTTTCCGGGCAAATTTTCTTAAAAATAAACCAAAAAATTATTAAAAATGATGTTAATGTTTTCTTTTTTGGGCGTTTAATCACGTTTTTGGGGTAAATTAGACCGAAAAACACTAAACTAGACTAAAAATGATAACATTTACTTTGTTTTTTTGGACGTTTTTCAGCCAGAAACGCGTAATTTCTTCAAAAATAGAAAAAAAAATACATATTTTTTTCTTTTTTTAAGCGGTTTTGTATGTTTCTGGACCGAAAACGCAAATATTTACCAAAAACAAGGCAGAAAACCACCAAATTAAAAATATTTCAAATAAAACAAACTTTTTCTCGAAAAAATGAAAATTTTAAAATTAGACCAGATGACGTTTAGTGTTCCAAAACCCGAAAATTCCGAATAGTTGATTTCCTGAAATTCCTAAAAGCCGTGAAAATAAGTGCAAAAAATTACCAATCTTTCTCAAAAATGACACTTTTTGCTTATTTAAAGCTTATTTCTACGTTTTTCGGGCAAATTTTCTCAAAAATAAACCAAAAAATTATTAAAAAAATGTTAATGTTTCTTTTTTCGAGTGTTTAAACGCGTTTTTGAAGTAAATTGGACCACAAAACACTAAACTAGACTTAAAGTGATAACCTTTACTTTGTATTTTCGGACGTTTTTCAGCCAGAAACGCGAAATTTCTTCAGAAATAAAAAAAATTACATAATTTTTTCTTTTTTTGAGCGGTTTTCCTCGAAAAAATGAAAATTTTAAATTTAGACCAAATGACGTTTTGTGTCTCAAAACCCGAAAATTCCGGATAGTTGATTTCCTGAAATCCCTAAAAATCGTAAAAATAATTGCAAAAAATTACCAATTTTTCTCAAAAATAACACTTTTTGCTTAATTAAAGCTTATTTCAACGTTTTTCGGGCAAATTTTCTCAAAAATAAATCAAAAAATTATTACAAATGATGTTAATGTTTTCTTTTTCGAGCGTTTAAACACGTTTTTGAGGTAAATTGGACCAAAAAACACTCAACTAGACTTAAAGTGATAACATTTACTTTGTTTTTTTTTGCGTTTTTCAGCCAGAAACGCAAAAGTCTTGCGAAATTTCTTCAGAAATAGAAAAAAAAATTACATAGTTTTTTCTTTTTTAACCGGTTTTGTATGTTTCTGGACTGAAAACGCAAATATTTGCTAAAAATAAATCGGAAAATCACCAAAAAAAAAGAAATGCATAAAATACGATTTTTCTATTTTTTAAGTGTTTTTATTTATTTGCCATTAAGAAATGCAATTATTTCGTCAAATATAAATCAAAAAACACCAAACTAGGGCAAAAATGATGTTGTAGCCTTTCCGAGATAAAAACTTAGTTTAATTTTTTTAATTAGACTAAAAGATCATCAGTTTTTAATTAATTATTAATTAATTACTGTTACACACTTTGTAATACAATCAAAAAAATATAACACTTTTACAAGAAATTTTGTTTTACGAAATAAAGAATTCTTGGCGTCTCAAATTCTGGATAGTTAATTTCCTGAAATCCCTAAAAATCGTGAAAATAATTGCAAAAATGTCTAAAAACGGTTAAATGCTCACAAGTAGTTTTCTAGAGTGTTTTCAGGCGCTGAAAAAATTACCCAAAACGCCCCAGAATAGGCGATATGTTATGCAGTCTGACGATTGATAATTTTTTGCTTCTTATTTTAATCTGTGTTCCAAAAATTATTCTTGATTAGTTGATTACAAAGTTATAGATATAAAAAATGTTCTCAAATATTAAAAGCTATTTTGAGCGTTTTCAGGCGTTAAAAAATTATTCAGACTCGACGAAATCTATCAAAAAAGTTTGGTTAGTACTGACGATCCATTGATAATTTTTGCTTCTTACTTTAATTTGTGCTTTGATAATTATTCTTAATTACAAAGTTGTAGATCTTGTTTCTAAATTATGTTTCAGAATGTTAAAAAAACTAACAATTGGTATTTCATTTTCTATTAACCTGCAAAAAACCACTTTTTTCGGGTTAAAATAACACACAATGCAGAAACAGATATATTTTTAGTCAGTATTTGTTAAACGTTCTGCAAGAATCGAATTTTTCAATATTTTGTTCGTTTCAGGAAACTTCATCACGAATAAAAACTTCTTTAGCTTTTTTCAGTAGGAAAAACTTTCAGGAGATGCCAATACAACCGTTTAAATGATTAATTCTAGCCGCTTTTTAGAAATGCTCAAAAGGAATATTAAAATTTTTCTAGTCATTTGTGTACAAAGTGACAAAAGAATGCTTAATTTGGGTTCAACTTTTAATTACAATAAAACTAAATTAATTTTAGATCAAAGAAGTCATGAAAAAAGTTAAGACACGAAACTTGCAACAAAGTATGAAAAATTCAGGAAATTTAATTTCTTTAGGAGAAACCCCCTATTTTGGTTTAGAGAGTAGTTGATTTTAATTCCTCACTCTCATCAGTTAATTCTTTCAAAGACACAATGCAAGTTATTATTTCATAAAAATGTATTAATTATCGATGTTGCAATTTTAGGTCTTGTGATCTGGATTCTTTAGAGATCCTCAAATTGAATTCTCGATGGATCACCTCTTACATATTTGTCAACATTACAGTGTGTTTATTTTTAATTATTTTGGTAATAAAAGGCGTTTTAATTTCGTACTCAAATAACAACATTTTAACGGCGGAATATCTTCTTACAATTATTATTCTGGTCCACGTGAGTAATAAATTTTTTTTTTTATTTTCCAACACGAAAAAATTATTTTAGGGAACTGGAAAATTGATTGTTTTGCAATTTCATAAAAAAGCCTTAGTAAGTTTATTGAACAAAAAATCTCTCTTTTGGAAAATTGCAAATTTTGAGGGAAAGAAAATAATTCAGATTTACTATTTTTGGAGTATTTTGGTTGGGATTTTCTTTGATTTTCAACTATGTTACGTACCAGATGGGTGGTTTCACACTTTGCTGGTCTTTACATGGTACATTTCTTACCCTCTTCTCTTGGTACTTGATGGGTTCTTCTATTCACTTACAACCTCTCTAGTCATTCAATTTAAATTGTTGAAACACAAATTCAAAACTATGAAAATAGATAATAATGTATGGAATGAACTCAAGGAATTAGTAAATTACCACCAATTTTTGTTGAGGTATTTGAAATTTCGGGAAATTTATTCAAAAAAATTTTTTTTTATTTTCAGTTATTGTGAAGAATTGAATTCAACATTTCAAGGCGTATTTTTATTACTGTTTTTTTCAGCCATCGCTACAGCTTTTGTAACAATTTTCGTTTTAATGCAACCGTAAGTAAAAAATTGCAACATTGTTTAGTTTGATTTTTAAATTTTTAGGACAAGTTTTGTCAAGAGAATAAAATTTGTGGCATATTTAATTGCCATCATTATTCAAGTATCATTCTATTGTCTGCCTTTGGACAGTTTGATAAATACTGTAAGTTAAAATATTTCAGGAAAAGTTTTACAAAATCGGTCATTTTCAGGCTTGTCAAGTCGGTGATTCGATTTATGAATCCAAATGGTACAAAAGTGAGATTTTTCAGTTCAAAAAATGCGTAGCTTTGATTATTGCTACAACACAAAAACGTGTTGTTTTCAGTGGCTATGGATGGGTTTTCATGAATCGGAGAACTCTTGTTGTTGTGAGTTTCTTAAAAACACTAAACCAAGATAATATCTTGTTTGTAGATCTGGAAGGCTGTATTTATGTATTACACCTACTTGAATTTTGTTAAAAGAATGTCAAAGTAATTAATATGAGTTTGTAGTAGATAGAAAATTGCACTTGTAGTAATAAAATGAGCAAAAGCAAAACAAAAACTTGTTTTTTTAACTCCTATAATTTTACCAACTTTTACTTTTTTTATTTTAAATATGATTTTTTTGCTTAAATTTTTCCTAATATTTTAAGTTTTTGTTTGCAAAATTCTGTATAAAATATTGTCACGAGCATTTTGTACATCTTTTGTTAAATAAAATTTAATAAAATTCTACGATTTTTTTACTTCTTTTTCAAGTCGTAATTGTGTTCAAAGTTAGTCGCTATTTTTCTCAATTATGTACTCAATTTTTTTTTTAATTTTTTGGTTCACTAGTAATTTTGTTATTAACATAAAAAACAGTAAAAAAATTAGCTAGTTTTATTTTAAAAAAATTGAAAAACAACGTGAGTGTTCACAAATATATTACTTTGTCAAGAGATTAATTTATTTTTATTATTATTTCAGATAATAGCCTCTAAATTAACTTCTTGAAGTGTTTTTTTGGACAAATTTAAAAACTCATTGATATTTTAAAAATGTTACAACAAAAAGTGTTGTTTTTAGTGAGTATCATTAAAAGCTATTTTTTTAAATAACAAGAAA